GGAAAATAGGAGGATCACACGGACGTTGAAGCGGGAAATTAGAACTGCAAGACGTTAAGTCGAGAAACGGCTGACTAGCGATACTAAGAAGAACCCCAAGGCTTTTTATCAGTATACTGGTGGTTGATGTCAACATTCGATCGGGCCGCTAATGAACGAAAAGAGGGAGCTGATTGCAAGTAATAAGGACATGTCCAGTATACTTAACGAGTTCCTCGCTTCCGTTTTCACTGTGGAGTCAGACTCGGCACCGACTTCAGAGGAGCTGACCTCGGCGCGTATCGAGGAAATTTCCATCACCGAGGAGACGATCGTGAATATGATTGGGAAGTTAAAGATGGGCACGGTGACCGGCCCTGTTGGGATTCCTGCGAGAGTCATTAACCCTCGGAACGCCAAGATCGGGTCAAAATGACCCATACAGGCGAAATTGTAAATTTTGTGTATATTAACCGTATATTAGCCCTGGCAGACGCCTTCAATTCGGCCTCATGTCAATGTGTGGTGCTGTCTTCACATATCAGTTCTAGTGTAGTTGTGAACATGGCGGAAACAATCCACGGGCATCGATCTCTATGGACACCATTCATAGCATTCTACATGAAGAGTCTGACTCTGATGTTATGGATGATGGAAGTGGCGATTCTTGCAGTGATGGAGAACAATGTCACAATGTGCTTTACATGTGAAAATAAGTAACATGCATTCTGGAAGTTTTATATTCAGTGCCGTCATGTCAATTGGCATGGATCGTTACTATAATGTTCTTCTCTTGCTACAAGCTTTGAAACTTTTTTTTTGGATTTATCGTTTCTTTTTTGGTATCTACTTGGGAAATAAATACATCAATATCTTTAAAAGGTATGTGTAGATTCTACTCTGAACAAAACCTCATTCGTTACGAAAAATATATATGGGTCAAAAATGACCCGATCTTGGCGTTTCGCGAGATGCAAATGATCTTGGCGTTCCAAGGGTTAAGGGAACCGAGAGAGAAATATCGGTTCCGCTAAGAATCATATTTGAAAGCAGCTTTTCCCGCGGGGAAGTACCTAAGGACTGGAGACTACACTCAGAGAAATCGGTAAATCGAGATGAAATACTCCTTTCAATTTTCGCGTTTCGATTTATTTTTCTCAGGAGAAAAAGACATCAACCGGATTTTCGACGTATATCTCTCGCTTCCCGACCGTGCAGGGTCTCCTGAAAGGCGTTCGCAAAACCAAAATGCGTCATTAGCCGAGTCGGAAGGGTGTTTTGAGTGTCCTTGCATCTTCTAGACACATGTTAACCCACGTATTCGATTTCATCGTGCCGAGGAAGCCCCCCCCCCCGTCTCTTCTCATGAACCCACAGGCAATGCATTGACAGCCGAGGGATTCACACGCAACCGCCTGAGTGCATGGCCTCGTCGCAACTTCCCTCCGACCCGTGCGAGTAGCTCGGGCATATCGAAGGGATTCCCATGTAACCGCTTACTTTATTCTTCGAGTCCAGTTTCATACGGTGTTTGTATTCCGTTTGGTGCGTTGGTGGTGCAACACGTATCGCCAATACGAGATCTGATTGTTAACTATATATATTTAACAGTCTAAGAATACATGGATTCTTCTGGGAGAAAAATAGCTCCTTCGTTAAAAGCCCCGTTGTCTCCCCTGAATGAGGTTCGTGTATTTGGGCTTCAAGCTCAAAAGCCACTTTATTCCCACAATAGGACATGCAACGCAAATTTCGATGTGGCTGAAGTTCATCACGAAATGTTCCATGCGGCAGAAGCGCATAATATACCTGCATATACATGCAGAATCAAATTACTGCATTTTCGTCGAGAAAAAATTTGTCCTCCATGTGATGCGTTTTTATCGCATCCAACATTTGATGCGATAACCGCATCCAAAATTCGATGCGATAAAGACGCATCACATGGAGGACAGATTTTTCGCGAGAAAAATGCATCGAACTGAAGCACTGAATTTTCTGTGTGTAAATGGGGGAAATGAATAGGAAAGAAACTCACACACCGTATCTAAATGCGCATATTTGAACCTTAAAATGACGAAGATTGGTCGTGTTCCCTTCGAACGGTTTCACTCAAAGTTTTCAGACTGCAGAGTCCTCCGTTCCACTTTTGGGAATAACTTCCCAAGGACTTTAACGTCTAGGTTAATCCATTATACATTCGGTGCGTCGAATTCCTCCGTCCTGATACCAGTATCGAGCGGATAGAGTTTTCGAATAAAAGGCGGACTTTGATGCGTAAAAGTGTAACTTATTCATAAGAAGTGATGTCTATAGAAATCGATGGTAAATCAATGAAAACAGGAGAAGTGATATGAACTCCGAACTAGCCCAGATCTACTGTACTTGCGAAAACGTAGATGTAAAATACATAACAATGAACATTTGTGCGATTAGCTGTTCGTGAGCACCCGCGCGTTTCCAATGTCTCTCTGCTTCCTTCACCGACTTGACATCTTTAGTAGAGGTAGTGGAAAGGGCAGAAAGGAACGTCACAGAGTTCTATAAGTCCCGTTGAAATGTAGCAGAAGGGGCCCTGCTCATTCATTAACGGATTGCGACAGTAGTTGTGCGTCTCTCTCCTCAAGTCCTCGGGGAATCTGAACCAAATGGGCCAATTTGCCAAGTTGACTTCATCCCATTGCATACACGGATGTCCTGACAATGATGTATTTCGTGTTCCTGCATACTCCTCTCCCTCTCTAGTCCATCTGCATTCCGTCTTGTCTGGTGGAGAGAAGAAATAAGATATAGATGTATTGGGCAATATTGATCCAGTGAAGAACGGGATCGTCCTATCCTTTCGCCTCTTTGTCCTACAGGGAGGAACTCTTTGTTTCCCTAGACCAGGGGTGTCAAACTCAAATCGGTCCGCGGGCCGCATTCCTCACCCTGCAGGTGCCTGCGGGCCGCACCAAATATATATATATATATTTATTTTTATTTACCGAAATGTGTTTTTGTACCAACGTTGTAACACACCAAATTTAAGTATTGCCCAACAATGGCAGTTGTCAGCATGTACCCGCTTAAAAATTCAGACGTTTAAAAACTAGTTAGAAACAGACCCCCAGACGTGTCAGCCAAATTCGATTCATCTTTGTAAAATATTTGCCATAGTTCTGTTAANTTCATCGGCACTAACTCCACGAACTCCTCCGTCACATTCATATCCTGATCGACTCCGCGAACGAACACAGCTAATTGTGCAACGTCACTCACATCTGTGCTTTCATCAATTGCTATTGAAAAGTAAGAAAATGTCTTTGCCCTGTCCCGGAGCTGACTGTCCAAATTATCAGATAAGTCACAGATTCTGTCGGCTACTGTGTTCCTTGAGAAACTGATATTTGCAAAATTTTGCCGCTTCTCTGGGCACACAAAGTCCGCAGCTTTCATCATACATTTCTTCAAGAACTCTCCCTCAGAAAAGGGCTTTGAGGAAGCGGCTATTTCTTGAGAAAGGACATAGCTAGACATAGCGGACATTCCTGTGAGATACTCCTCTCTATTCGAACTATTTGAATACTGACTGCCCTGGCCTGGATCAACCAGGGGACGCCATCGTATATTTACGATACGGTGAGGGAATGCGGGCGCCTTCAACTCTTATTCGAGTTTAGGCTCGTGCGCGGAGAGTGCTGAGAGTTAATACAGATGAAAATTTCAAGAACAGACCGCGGGCCGTATGTTTGACACCCCTGCCCTAGACGAACCTGACTGGTGAACTTTTACGGTAATTAGAAGGGAAGACCGTTATCAGGAAGGAAGGCCGAAAGAGGAATTAATGCTATGTATTCCTCATGAAGTGTGAAAAAGGGTTGCAGGAATCGCATCCCATTTCTACTCTAATGTCTTTCACACTTTTCTCTTCCTGTCATCATGGTGTATTGAGATGAAGTGGAACAATATTAATTATAGTTGCAGATTCAGATGATAAATATGTTAATAATGTATCACTCTTGGATAATTGGCGAAAGAAACTCGTCCCGAATATTCAAATTTTCCTAGCTATCCTTCAAGAATGAGTTTATTTGAAATCTGCAGATGCATTTATTGATAAATTATTATTTTTAACCGGAAAGAAGCGGTGAAGGACTCGTTGGAAAAAGTTTCAGCATCGCGGATATGAAAAAGGGCGTATGTGCATAAACACTTTCTGCCTGCATCCCAATGTGAGAAAAATAAATTCATTAAAATCCTAAGTTCATTTGAAAAATGTACGAGATTCCATTTTACTCATAATTAAGTTTTGACTAGATTCAAATTAGCTATAGAAAGATTTTATCGTTTATCTGGAATTGGATCTTTTGCACATACGTCATTTTTCTAGAGATCTCCTTAATTCATCTTTTTATATGTAATTATTGTCTTATTCTGTAATAAACTTAAGTACCATGTTTGAAGAATACGACACTTCCATTTTTCCAGAACTTCTGTCTGGTCGGAGCTTTCTTACCACTTGAATCCACGACGAGACAAGGAATAAAAACTTAAGCTGAGAAATTTGGTCTTGCAGTAAATAATATTGGTACCTTGTTACGTCACAATCCATTGAGGTACGTCATTCGTTTCTTCATTCAATATAAGATGCGTAAATAAGAGATTCCTGCAATACTTGGCGTGACGCACCATACCGTTCCACGAAAACCCCCCAGTACGAATTGCTGTCGAGAAAAGAACGTTTCATTCGGTTGAATGGAAGGAATCAGTTATTCATTGACACTCGCAGGATAGTAGCATCGGGAGAAAACGTATCTTCAGTCACGATGCGCCTCATCGCGAGTCGAATTTTGGAACCTATGAGACCAGCGACTGATGAACATTGCAATATCTTAAGTGAGTTTTCCATTTGAATTTCAACCCTGTATTACATACACTCAGTGTCATGCATCTCACACTTAGGCCAATATTAAAGGATTTTTTGCAACTTCGGACCATAGCAGAGCATCTAATTGCCCCAAAAATCGATAGTGTTAACCCTACAGGGCTTCGTGGATTGGAGTGGGCTCACTGGGGTAGTTGGGGCAAAAGGGAATTTGGCAAAATTCCCATTCGATGTCTGGATCTGCGACGAAGCACCAGGGTTGCTGCCTGAACGTCGGGTTTCTGCAGAAATCCTGGTGCAACGTGGGATTGCCAAATCGGAAGTGATCTTCATAAGTTGCATTTGTGACGAAGTCCTCAGGTTTTCCATAGGGCTGGGAATCCCATCGGAGACAGTGCTTTCCGGTCTTTGTTGTCCTTGTCGTTCCTATGTATTCCTTCCCCATCGCGGTCTGCAAGCATTCTGGGTATCCTTCCGCCGGTTTACCTGTCAGAAAATTTTCCCCAATAAAAACTACGAAACACGTCAAGTCTGCATTTCACCTGCTTGAAGCATTTCACGTTTTCCGAAAATCGATTTTTCAGAAGTGTGTGAAATATTTTCGTTTTAGGTCACATGCCAATATTGTAGGATGCATGATTTTAGGATATCTGCTCGGTTTCTTCACTCGAACATTAGCTAAAGGTTGCGAGAACCTGAGCACGAATGAACCCCTTGCCATACCTTCGACGGCGAAGCGCTCATACAATTGGTAGCAGAAAGGGACCATGCAATGTCCCCATCTTTCGCCAGTTCCCTCTTCAATGAAGCACCAGAGGCCGTACAGGTTAGCGTCAGGATTGCGACAGTAGTTGTGACTACTGTCAACGCCTTCATCAGGGATGAACATTATGTCCATGAATGAGACTCGCTTGTCGTTCGCCCGACCCAACCAGGGTTGACAATTCCGACCGTCCGCATCAACGTTCTTGAATCCCACATACTCCAGCCCCATCTCAGTCAATCGGCATTCCAGGGGCTCTGAGTAAATTCAGGTAGGGTAAAAGACCCAGTGATGGGCCTGTTAATGGCGGGTACTCAGTGATGGGCCACTTCGCAGGAAAATTCCAAAATTTTGGCATTTGTTCCATTACCACCTCTGAAGTGTCTATGTGCTTGAATGCTGCTAACCTATGTCATAATATGCGTAGGCATGCTATGGAAGCTTAGCTATTGGAATTTTTATGTGCTGTGGCCCATCACTGGGGACCGGTCCATCACTGGGTCTTTTACCCTATTCAGGAAAGTAATTTTTTCAACAGAATAAATTTCTTCCCTTATACTGTCAAATAGGAGATATATCCGAGGAGGTCTTGATACAGCTCGTTTTTAATCACTCTTATCTCTCTTTCTGATTCATCCCTATGAATTCCCTTTTTTCGTAATGTTTGGAGTGTCAAATCACTTGAGATCTATTGCTGAACTGTGTCAGGTTTTACCCTCGAAGTACGACGATGGAAATATCGCGATTGGCTCATCACAATATCAGAAACCACCAAATCATTACTTCTTCCTGAACCTTCGTATAATTACAGTATTCATCAGGAATCAGTCCGCTCGGAGAGAGTTTCTCCACGTTTCTCAAAGTGCTCCATTTAAAACTCTGGAAGAATCGCAGACCTTTGGAGCGGAGGCAGAAAGGGATGTCGCAATATTCCCAGTTGAAAGGCTCGAAAGACACGAAGCACCATGGTCGTTCCGCCCTCCCAGGATTCCGGCAATAATTTGCGTCCTGCTTTGTTAGCATGAAAATCAAGTTATATTGAAGGTCCTCGGGTATTTGATGGCGTTCATGGTACGGGCGATAAGAGAAGAGGAAATCCAGAGTTCTTCCGCTTTCCGGATAATGAATCCAAGGTAGGCATATTTTCCCGGTTTCTGTCTGGCTTTGGCTTCCTCGGTATTCCTTCCCCATTGGCGTCATTCGGCATTCTGGATACATGCTCGAAGCCTCTGCTCCATATGCGAAGTATGCAATCGTGCGTGGACAGTATGATTGAATGGGTGGAAGGAGCATCAAGTAATTAATACGAATTCTTACGATGTGACATCGATGACATCTTACACGAGTGCATGAAGCTATTTATTTTTGGATTTATTTCTTAGTATGTTTTATATTTGCATAATGTTTATATTTTTTAGGAGATTAATATACGACATTTGAGCACATGGGAACATTCTTCGCAGGCTGCTAGGTCTCACAATCGTATTAAAGTCCATACTGTTCTCAAACGAACTATATGGGCTGTTTTCAAACCGAATCCTTGGTTCCATTTCTGGGCGACCTTAGGGTATCTTAAAGGAACTGTAATTCAACATTGGAGGCATGGTAGAAAAGAGAAGATTTAAGAAGATTTAAATTTTGCAATATTAAATACTATTAAATATATTAATAAATATATTGAAAATTTAAATAAATGCAACAATGTTTAAAAGGGCCAATTCAAAGTATCAAGTCTGTACTCAGTACTCAAGGGACCGATTAAATGCATTTCCTCATGTATCAGGAATGTCAATACCATTATTTGGTATCGCCATTCCCGAAGTCACAAGGATATTTCTTTAAGTCACGTGACTCACTCGACGAGCATCGATCCTCCGTCTCGCATGTCCTCTCGGCATCTTCCATGGCACAGAATCGCACATCGCAATACTCCCAATTCTCCTCAGAGCCTGGAACTTTGCACCAAGGACCGCCTGGCCTTCCGGTCGGGTTCCTGCAGTAGTTGTGCTCATCCGTGATGAAATCGGGGAATGCCTGTCCCTTAATCGCAAACCTAAATTCCGGACTCAGACCCTGCTCACCAAGCCACGCGAGACACGGAGAGCCAGAAATGGCCTTATTTTGTGTGCCCAAGTATTCTGCTCCCTTTTGAGTCATTTTGCATTCAGGTGCACCTGAAAATTAAATCGGTTGCATGATTTGTAGCAAAGCAACCTCTCGACTTTTAGGATGACTTTCGGATTAAACAAGAAACTGACATTTTTCTTGATAGTAAAATTTGGGTTCCAACTTCATGGTGGCTTCCTATTTCAATGCAACGCACGCATTTCTGAACGCAAAGCTTTAAGTTGGTGGTGAGTCGTTTATTCGCCACCTACTATATTCTCCATTTTCTCCTTGGGTGTGATGTCGACAGCGCAATCAAACGGGACATCCTGCCTAATTACTATCTTTGGTTTTCGTAGTCTTGGTTAAATTTTTATGAAATGGAAAGCCCACTTCTGCCGCCAGAAACGTTACTTGCTATCCCAGTCAGCACCGACGTTGGGCCCACGTTGGCCGCAAGTGGGGGATCGTGGGCTCACAAAGCAGTCGACTGCCCATGTATGCCCCACATCGGCGCAAGATGTGCAGCCAACATTTCCAATATCTCAGGATGAGACATGCATCGCAGTTACTGAAATCAAATGTGTCCCACAAATGGTACAAGATAGTCCTTACGAGACAAAGGAGCTGATGGGTTCAGTCACGGCTTTCTGCAAAGTGCTCGCAAAAACGGTGACATTTACATTAATGGAGTGAATCCTGTTTTTTCAAATGTTTTGGTTTGCCTAGGGCTCTTTATATACTAGGATTTCAAACTTGTTAATAGCCTGACCTCCATGATTCGCCATGGAAAAGAGAAATTAAAAATAATTGACTATCAAAATTTATTGGCTGCTATATTGGGACTACGCAAGACATATGGCAAGGGACGACACAGGCTCAACAGGGCACAGGCTCAACGTGGGTGTGTTGCCGGGGATTTCCACTACTCTATACGCTCGCGCAGTTTGAGGCATGGAGGGATGGATGCATGGAACCAGAAGGTCCAAAGGTCTTAATCGTGAGCCACAATAGGGAAGTTCCGAAGGAAATCATGCATTGGGAATCACAAATTCATGTTTCCGTGGAATATTGCATTTGCTCTTCTTTGATGAACGTATTTGAGAAAGGGACAGGCACTCACTTAGATCATCACAAAAGGGAATCCAGCAATACTCCCACGTCAAGCCGCCATCATCGACGAAACACCATGGCATATCGTTCGTCGATGGGTTCCGGCAGAAATTCTCGTGGGAGGACGGATCCTGGTTGAGGAAATGCTCTTCGAAGAACATGCTTTCATAGAATCCCTTCCCTGCTGTGCGGAATGTCAATTTCACATCCGGGGAATCCCATCTGAGGCAGGGTTTTCCGTTTTCCGTCACGCTCACGGTCCCGATGTATTCTTTCCCCATCTCCGTCAGTCGGCATTCGGGATAATCCAGTTCATCTGTGAATCCACATTTGGATCGCCAGGTTTCAGGGAACCATGACCGAGCAAGGAAAGTGAAATGAAATCGGAAGGGAAATAAATGGGAGGAAAAACCTATATACAGATTTAGCCATGCCACTTTATTGCAAAATCCGTTCTTCTTCGAAACGGGTTGTTATTGCCGGGATTTTACATGACTATGGAAAAGATGGTACACTTCATGAAATCCCGATTCAGACTTATAGAAATGGGTATAAATACTGAAATAGTGATTCAGCTGGTGACATGAAACGTGTTAAATGAGGTCAACGTGCCAAAAGAGCCATTATTCAAATCATCTCTCAACATGAAGTGGAGAAGAAAAATTTGCGTTAAGGAAACCATAAAATTTTGGCGAAGATATAGTTGCCCCTGTTAATTGAAACCCGAAACGTTTATATTATCGGCTCATTTGTTTTTTGAGACAGCAGACGAATATTTTCAAAATTTGTTTTGAAAAACGTTGCAATGGCTGAAAACCAGGAAAATACTACCAAAAATGATATGAAACACAAAAAAGTAACAACCTTTTTCAGTTTCACTATTTTAGGGAAACTAAATTTAGTTTCACTTTCTATAGAAGTAATATATATAGCTCAGAAAGCGATGAAAATACGAGATTTTTTCTGTTTCGAATCTTACCTGTCCTGCACAGCATGAGCAATTTTAACTTTGTATGTAGATTCCAGGTACATGATTTGAAACACTTGAAACTGTCAAGAAACAAACTTCATAGCATTATCAATTAACAAAAGCATTAAGAACATAATATCTCCACAATAGATTCCATGAGTTTTCAACAATTTCAGATGAAATTATTGCAGTCGTTAGACACACCTAGATGAAGGGGTTTGACCCGAACGGATAAAAGAGTTCAAAACGTAGGAGACAAACGGGCATAATCACCTCATATTGAAGTTCGGAATTCATATTCAAGCAAAAAAAGAGTTCCAGTCCGTTGGGCTCCTAAGGTTTGAGAGTATCGAGGAAAAATGATCATTATGGGAACGAGAGCCCTTTCGTTCTTCTACTAGAACGATGAAGGATCTTTCTTAAGACACCGTGAAGATCGGTGGATGCGTTTTTTTTTTTGCATGCGAAAAAATGACAACCACCGTTTCCTTACGTTCCTATGCGTTGGGTTTCCATTCGGGAAGGACGTCGACTTGCAAAATTCAGCCTTAGGGATTCTTTCTTCATCAAAAATTAGAAATGCAACATGATAAATTTGGTTTTGACTTCTTCGACTACGAAAACTTTGGGTAGAGAAAGTCATTGCTGCAATTTCACGAATTCTTTACATGATATTCAATGGTGTTTTTTTTTTTTCAACCGCACCATTTTTATTATGCGATTGAGATTTCGAACATGTTAGATTTTTCCCATGCTGATGGTGACTGTTCGCGTCAGCCTCGACCGAATCCCAAAGAAGCACACCCACTTGCACGAGGACAGAGGTTCCTTTCGCCTTCGGTGAACGTCGCTCTCCAGGAATCCGCTTCAGTCGAGGAACAGGAGGCACGGTGCTCCTTCCAGCCATCCACGAACCCTCGCCGCTGAATGCAAGCGAAGCTCACCTCCCCACTGGGTGGGGCCGGATGATGACCCGACCAGCCCACGAAGGATTCCGTCGCGTGCTCGATCCTCGGGTAGTCCGTCAGGCACAGAACTGCATTTTCAACAAAATTTGACAACGTGTTGCCTCATGGGCATTTACATATGCCGCCTCTTTTGGAATTAATACCATTTGGCAATTAGGAATATGTCAGGGTCAGTCATAGGAATACGCAACCGCCAACCAATAGGGACGGTAGGCCCAGATTCCACATGTGAAAAAAAGGAGATGATAAGGGACTCTCCTTAACACTCCACAGCTATTCTTGTTTTTTTTTTAATCGTGTAACTGGTATCATGGTATCAATTTGACCAATCGACAATAAAAATCACGATGAAATGTATTTTTTTTTTTAAGATTAATTTCATCATCGGAGTCTCTCCTGCCTCTTTCCTCCTAGACCCCTTTTGTCGTCGTCGACAAGTCTCGCAACTCGCACACCGTAGAGATGGATTTTTGATGAAGTAGCGGACTGTCTACCTTTTTCTCTATATTTACATTCTGACTTACCTTCACGGTGGGGGAGCATCACATAGCTTTGGTGTGCAATTATGACTAATTATAATAATACAGCTTAGGAATAGGCAACTTTTTCACGCAAAGGGAATTCTCCAGTCAGGACATTTCGTTTCCATGAAATGCGAAAATGGAGAGAATGAGGTTCCCAATTGTATAAAAGTTTATTTTAGAACTTCCATGAAATCTCATTTTCATGGCAAATTATCATCTCCTCGATACCAATATTTCCACTCACATTGTACGTATGCCTGGTAGCCATCCGAGGGAACGAGACCGCTCTTCTCATTGTGAATCAGCTGACAGAACCCATCCCGTTCCCTGAAGTTGAAAGCCAGGAAAGGCCCGGACGGGTTCGTCCTCGCGCACTTCACGGTGCAGTCCTCGAGGTTCTTCGCTTGGAACTGCTGTGACGCGTTCCCGTATCTTCGCCCTTGGTGCACGGCATGATACACGATGATTTTCGAGAACGATCCGGCCCAAAAGAGACAGGAAATGAAAACCGGAGTCAAGAAGTCGCCCATGCCTCTGCCAGGAGAAGGAAAAACAGGCTTAGGGAATACCATCGACACGATGGAATTGAATTCAACGATTCCCTCACAAAAACGCAAAGTGAAATCTTTTCGGTACCAGCAACTGAGGTACTTCATGCATTTCCCATATTTCTGGAATCGGACGCTTCGAACGAATCCTCCATGTGACCGCAGTCTCTGGCTGAGTATCTACGAAAGTATCCTATGAATCACCATGTATCACCTCGAAAATGTCCCCCATAAGGCTCCACTTGTGCCAGCTTCGAGGTTATTATTTATATTCAACTGCAGAAAGTTTTTTTTCCAGCAGATTAAGCATACATCAGATATATTAGTATTTTGGTGAATTTGTCAAGAAGTCGAAATGCGTTGCTTTCTTTTTCTTGTATGTTGCTTTGGAACTCACGAAGTGAACTGACCTGTTTTAGATATTTATTCACGTTCGAAAGAATTTTCACGTCCTGCTTTGCAGAAAACCAATGCAGAAGTATTGGCAAGCGAGAGAATTAATGTTTTCATTTTTCACTCGCCCTTCCCATAGTTACTTCGGGGAAATAGCAGATATTGCAATCGATTCGGCAATGTTTTTTTTTTCTCATTCCGTACGTCAACGGTATCCATGGGAACCGGGCAACACCGCTCATTGTGCATATGCAGCTTCCCGCTTCGGTCGGGATGAGAGTCCGCGACGAAAACGTCCGCATCCCTTCGAACGAGATCGCCATGTGAGATGTCAGCATCGACATGTGAAATGTTGAGATGTCATCTGGCATCCTACACTCATATTTCCTTCTGGGGCGTTATGGTTAACCGGTCATTCATCTTAACGCGGTATATCGTTCTCAATCCATGGGAACCGGGCAACACCGCTCATTGTGCATATGCAGCTTCCCGCTTCGGTCGGGATGAGAGTCCGCGACGAAAACGTCCGCATCCCTTCGAACGAGATCGCCATGTGAGATGTCAGCATCGCCATGTGAGATGTCAGCATCGACATGTGAAATGTTGAGATGTCATCTGGCATCCTACACTCATATTTCCTTCTGGGGCGTTATGGTTAACCGGTCATTCATCTTAACGCGGTATATCGTTCTCGTGATGCTCATACCGCCCCCTTCTGCATGGTACGATATAATTACCACTGAATATTATTACCTTAGAATAGCGCGCATGTTCGCACCGTCGCATAGGCGCCATGTCGCTGCCCATTCTAAAAAAAGAATATCCTTGCGTATTATCCCGGTCTCCATCCACTGTGGTGCCCACTATATGGGACTAGGAGGCTCCTGTCGTTCATGTGAGTATATTTCATCCGAATTAAATGAATCTATTATTTGTGAGATCAACTGTGCCACATTTTGGAAGAAAGCGGTTGCGTCAATGTCTCTCTAACAAATTGGATTCTTCCAAAACCGGCGCGGTTCCAGTTGGCGACCGTAATGGTAACTGTTCCAGCTGCTGATGTGATTGCGCTTCGACCGAACTCTCCCCAATTGGTGAAAGTGGAGTCGATGTGGTCTTTCTGAGCGCCACCTTCTGTTAAGGGCAGGTGTAATTCTACCTGACGGTAATTAAATCTCAGCGCTCTCTTCAAGATCTTCTAGAAATAGGACTAGCAAGAATTAGTAATTATTTGCTCTTACTAACTTGTTGACTTCTGAACTCGTAAGCTTTGAGGTTCCAGGTCGTTGAGACAGTTCACAGAAGTACGAGGGATCTTTCAGTACTGAGGGTACTATTCCTCCCTCTTCTCCGGTTGTCTCAAGCGGCTGCGCCGAATCCGGATTTGCCACGTCGCCGAGTCTCTGACGCACGAGCTTTTGCAATCACACGTCGCTTTTTTTTTAGAAGTCCCCCCCCCCTTTTCCGTGAACAAGTTTCCCGCATTATTTCTATCTAAGGATCAAGAAGGCGCCAAAGGCTAAAAGACGCCACGAGGAATTAAAGCACGACTTCTAATCATATAAATTGTCGTTTGCACGCGAACTATTCACTCCGGACCAAAACAATGTTTAGATGCATATCGAAATTGTGCACTTAACATAATTGTTTAATCACCTAAATTGGGCCTACGCATACTGACGATGGAGGACCACATTTGGCCAACGTGAGCCCCACCAAAAGTATTATCTCGGATTCACCCTTCAAGAGATATCATGATTGACTTGTTTCCTTTGTCATTGTGTCAACCAGTCTACTAAATAATTCGAGAACTTTCAGTATTCTTAGAGTATTCTTCAGGCATACTTCTTCTAACTTTGTAGCTTTTCTACTGGCAAAAAACAGGTGGTGACAGAGGGGATTTCTCCCAGAAGAAACCTCTTTGGTGGCCTTTTGCATATGAATCGGAATTCCGGTTGATGCCTTTTCCTCTAGAAAAAAAAACGAATAGGGAAAATTGTTTGAAGTCCATCATCTGGAAGAAAAGATTTCTTAGAGTCACTTTTCAGGTATATAACAGCTATCCGCAGGTGATAATTTCTGCTTGACTCGATTACGTCGTCGCTGTCATTGCTTCACCACCGAAACAAAGCAGCTGCCAGGCAGAACGCAGAAAAGGGTCATTCATGAAAATGCCAGATTTGCAGGACCAAGTTCGCTAACAGAAGTTTGATCCATTTATTTTAGCTGGAGGAACTACCATCGTTTCCTTGATGGAGCACGGCATTCGACAAGGAACATTCAGTGAAAGACGAGGAAAAATGCGAATCCCTACTTCGCAAATGACTGTGAGATCGTCGCCGACAACATCGTCCTCGAGAACGAAATGATGAAATGATCGTGGCATCACCGTGGCCCTCCATCGACCCAAAGGGACCGACCTCCTTCATCCTTGCCCTACCCGCGCCGATTTTGAACCGTGCCTCCTCGCCGATCGACGGGGTTCTCATTGGAATGCTTCAGCTGTTTAAGGAGATGACTCGAGAAGTTCGAGGGTCTTTCCTCACGTTCTCTGCGGGGAAATGTCAGGTGCCACATGAAAGGTACGTAGGCGCCAGCTCGCATCATCTATGCGAAGCTTTCTGTCGAATTAACAAATAGATGTCTCATCCTGAGACGCGATAAAAGTTGGCTGCTGGCCAACGTCGTATGCTACCTTAGCGATACCTGGTTTTTGCTCTAAATTGGCCATCATCGTTTCTTACCGACTATGGCTAGCCATTTTTCGGCACTTCATTGATGGCTCAATGCTGCTTGGCCATCGTTGGTTAAAGACATAGACCCAGTAAGGGCTCCAGGTTGACTTTCTATTGATGGCACGTCATTGATGTAAGACGTCGGAACATTCATTGCAATGGACTGGCTTGCCGCGATGCTGCGCGTCATCGGCCGAGGACAGAGCGCTGATAAGGGTTTTTCTACTTTGGGGCACTCCTACAGTACCCCAGTAGCACCCATATATTGGATCAATATAGGTTGCTAAGGAATATACAGTACATCTTTGCTCAACATTGACGTCCATCTTGGACCATTATTGGGATTACTACCGGGCCCCTTGTTGGGCAAAAAATGACGATATTTTCTCAAAATTCTTCATCCAGCGGAGGCATTTCCATGGTGAAGGCATTCCTATTTGCAAGGACAAGCAAAGCCCGGACGGATTCGTCCTCGCGCACTTCATGGTGCAGTCCTCGAGGTTCTTCGCTTGGAACTGCTGTGACACGTTCCCGTATCTTCGCCCTTGGTGCACGGCATGATACACGATGATTTTCGAGGACGATCCGGCCCAAAAGAGACAGGAAATCAAAACCGGAGTCAAGAAGTCGCCCATGCCTCTGCCAGGAGAAGGAAAAACAGGCTTAGAGAATACCATCGACACGATGGAATTGAATTCAACGATTCCCTCACAAAAAGGCAAAGTGAAATCTTTTCGTTACCAGCAAATGAGGTACTTAATCCATTTCCCATATTTCAGGAATCGGACACACTTCGAACGAAACCTCTATGTGACCGCATTCTCTGGCTGAATATATATTCGAAAATATCCAATGAATCACCATGTATCACCTCGAAAATGTCCCCCATAAGGCTCCACTTGTGCCAGCTTCAAGGTTATTATTCATATTCAACTGTAGAAAGTTTTTTTTTCCAGCAGATTAAGCATACTTCGGATATATTTCGGCGAATTTGTCAAGAAGTCCAAATTACGTCGCTTTATTTTTCTTGTATGTTGCTTTGGAACTCACGAAGTGAACTAACCTGTTTTGGATATTTATTCTCGTTCGAAAGAAAACATATACATTTTCACGTCCTGCTTTGCAGAAAACCAAAACTGGAGTATTGCCAAGTGAGAGAATTAATGTTTTCATTTTTCACTTGCCCTTCCCATAGGTACTACTGGGAAATAGCAGATATTGCAATCGATTTGGCAATGTTTTTTTTTTCCATTCCGTATGCCCGCGGTATCCATGGGAACCAGGCAACACCGCTCATTGTGCATATGTAACTTCCCGCTTCGGTCGGGATGAGAGTCCACATCCCTTCCAGCCCTCGCAGATGGCTGATCCATAATAACATACAAAAGGTCGAGAGAGGGGCTGCTCGAGGCCGCGTCGACGAGGTTGCTATGCGAGATGTCAGCATCGACATGTGACACGTTCAGATGTCATCTGGCATCCTACAATCATATTTCCTTCTACGGCGTTTAGGTTTACCGATCTTACCGCGGTATACCGTTCTCGTGATACTCATACCGAGGTTCACTCATACCGAACCCTTCTGCATAGTACGATATCATTACCACTGAATATTATTACCTTAGAATAGCGCGCATGTTCGCACCGTCGCATCGGCACCATGTCGCTACCCATCGCTACCAAGAATATCCTTGTGAATTATCCCGCTCTACATCCACTGTGATGCCCACTATATGGGACTAGAAGGCTCCTGTCGTCCATGTGAGTATATTTCATCCGAATTAAATAATTCTGTTATTCGTGAGATCAACTGTGCCACATTTTGGAAGAAAGCGGTTGCGTGAATGTCTCCAAAAAAATTGATGATTCCAAAACCGGTGCGGTTCCAGTTGGCGACCGTAACGGTACCTGTTCCAGCTGCTGATGTGATTGCGCTTCGACGAAACTCTCCCTGATTGTTGAAAGTGGAGTCAATGTGGCCTTTCTGAGCGCCACCTTCTGTTAAGGACCGGTGAAATTCTACCTCGCGGTAATTAGATCTCAGCGCTCTCTTCAAGATTTTCTAGAAATAGGACTAACAAGTAGAAGTAATTATTTGCTCTTACTGACCTGTTGACTTCTGAACTCGTCAGCTTTGAGGTTCCAGGTCGTTGAAGCAGTTCACAGAAGTACGAGGGGCTCTTCGGTACAGAGGGTACCCTCCTCCCTCTTCTCCGGTTGCCTCTAGCGGCTGCGCCGAATCCAGATTTGCCACGTCGCCGAGTCTCTGACGCACGAGCTTTTGCAATCACACATCGCTTTTTTCTTAGAAGTCCCCCCTTTTTCCGTGAACAAGTTTCCCGCAAGTGTCCCGTTTCCGTTGTTTCTCTCTAAGGAGCAAGAAGGCGCCAAAGCCTAAAAGACGCCACGAGGAATTAAAACACGACTTCTAATCATATAAATTGTCGTTTGCACGCGAACTATTCACTCCGGACCAAAACAATGTTTACATGCATATCGAAATTGTGTACTTAACATTTTTGTTTAATCACCTAAATTGGGTCTACGCATACTGACGATGGAGGACCACATTTGGCCAATGTGAGCCCTACCAAAAGTATAATCTCGGATACACCCTTCAAGAGATATCATGAGAGTCTTGTTTCCGTTGTCATTGTGTCAAACAGTCTACTAAATATTTATAAATCGAGAAATTTCAGCATTCTTAGAGTATTCCTCAGGCATACTTCTTCTAACTTCGTAGCTTTTCTACTGGGAAATAACAGGTGATAACCGCGGGGAATTCTCCCCGAAGAAACCTCTTAGGTGGCTGAGATAGTACTAGTACCTCAAGTTCAAAAAGAAGGGGAAAGGTAACATGAAGAATATTTTTTGGGTATGGCCCCTGGAAGAGTAAACAAAATTAAGTCATTCACCGACAGAATGTTGGAAGCGATCGCGCAAGGAACCAAAACTCAAGAACAGCGAGGAAAATCCGACTATAAATGCTTTACCCCTGGAGCTCGTTCCTGTTCCCAATCAGTTGCCCGGCAGAAACGTGGAATGCATCACTAATCAAAGCACCAGATTCCAGCAAAGTCAAATACAATCGTTTTCGTTAAGTGGCTGTTTTATGGACGTACTGCTATGGTCCCATAGATTAATGGAACCACATGTTTCAGCCCACAGTCGATAGCTTCCCACCGAAAGTCGTTGCTGTGTGGAACAAAGCAGCTGCCAGGCAGAACCCAGAAAGGTGTTTTTCATCAAAATGCCAGATTTCCAGGACCTTATGTTCGCTAACTGAAGTTCGATCGATTTCTTTTAGCTTGATTATAGATGAACTACCATCGTTTCCTCGATGAATGAGAGACCATACGTTCTCGTCTCGTGCATTCGGCATGGAACATTCTGGGAATGACGAGGAAAAATGCGAATCAATGCTTCGCGAACACCGAGAGATCGTCACTGACGACATTGCCACCGAGAACGAAATGATGAAATGATCGCGGCATCATTATCAACATCATCATCTCCCGGCAGTCCCTATCAAACCAAGGAAGCAGACCTCCTTCCTCGCCCTATCGCGTGAAGCGCCCATTTTGAACCGTGCCTCCTCACCGATCAGTCTCCTTGGACTGCTTCAGCTTTTTAAAGAGATGACTCGAGAAATTCGAGTGCCTTTCCTCACGTTCTCTGCAGGAAAATATCAAGTAGAAGAAAGGTACTGGGGTCTTAATGAGTCACTCCCTGGCCGCTCTGAAATAGTGGCTACGTAGGCGCTAGCTCGCATCATCTATGGGAAACTTTTTGTTGAAGTAACAGGTAGATGTCTCATCTTGAGACGTGATAAGAGTTGGCTGCTGCCCAACGTCGTGTGCTACCTTAGCAATACCTGCTTTTTGCTCTATTTTGACCATCATCGTTTCGTACCGACTATGGTAGCCATTTTTCGGCACTTCAGTGGTGCATTCATGGCTCTATGCTGCTTGGCCATCGTTGGTTAAAGACATAGGCCCCGTAAAGGCTCCAGGTTGACTTTCTATTGATGGCACGTCATTGCTGTAAGACGTCGGCGCATTCATCGCAATGGACTGGCTTGCCGCGATGCTGCACGTCATCGGCCGAGGACAGAGCGCCAATAAGGGTTTTTCTACTTTGGGGCACTCCCACAGTACCCCAGTAGCACCCCAATATTGGATCAATATAGGCTCCTAAGGAATATACAATGCATCTTTGCTCAACATTGATTCCCATCTTGGACCATTATTGGGATTACTACCGGGCCCCTTGTTGGGCAAAAAATGACGATAATATTTTCTCGAAATTCTTTATCCATCGGAGGCATTTCCATGGTGAAGGCATTCCTATTTGCAGTACCAGTACGGCCTGTACTAGTACAACCCCCGGCCCATGCACATATCTGTCCCATAGATTGGCAGGAGACATAGAAAAGTATAGACAGAATAGAGAGTATAACTAGAGGCTCTACTCTGCTTGAATCCCTTTCATTTCCAGGGTCGCAATATAGATGTCGCTGTCGATCCTCCACCTTGCGGGCGCACATCAACAACTCCTCCATGGCCGAGCAGCGGACTCGACGAGACATTACGCGTTACGTTGATGGATCCCTTTGGGTCGAATCCCCGAACGAGTCGATTCCTGATTCCGTTGCCCCGAAGCACGCCTCAAGGAAGTGTTGCTGATAGCATGCCACCAGATGCCTCTGTAACATTTCCTCCCCTACCCCTCGGAGTGTCGCCTCTTGTTACACTCTCTGCTCTATGGTACAGAGGTGGATCTTCCCCTGAATGTACTACCTGTAGTACTTTCCATAAAGTATCTCCGAAATCAGTCCCTCGTTTCCTTATTATATCATTGGGATGAGGAAATTGAATATTAAGCTCACGGATTTTTTCCATGATCAAATAAGTTACTCCTTTCAAATAAGGTACAACTGACTTCGTAGGGGTTCTCATCGGGAATATGAGCTTGTTCATGGCCTGGGCTCCATGATTCTGTCTTGAATATGCGGATAACAAATGATGAACTGAACAACTTTATTGATTGCTATAATGAGACTAGGCGAGACATACGGCGAGGTATTAAACATTCCTTCGAGGGACGATTCCAGAGAAAGAGGGAAGGGAACTTCTGTGCACTGTGCGAAAAGCGAGACCTATATACCATCAAGTGGTCTGAAGGAAAACGTCAGCATTTCCCAAAAACTTCTTGGTGCGGTCGTGCACATTGGATCATCGCGTTGGTCCAATATTGAATGGATGATGGAATGGCAATATTGGGGGAGAGAATATCAAGCCTATATTGGCAATATTGCTCAAGATGCAGCCAACGTACCCGATGTCGGTCCAGCATTAAGCTAAAATATGGTGCTAGTGTGTGTGGGCTTGGCCAATATATCTAATACCTGCTTAAGGCAATACCCCAGTAGCACCAGATATTGGCTCAATGCTGCACTGACATTGAGTACGTTGGCTACGTCTTGGGCAACATTGCCAATATTGCCTGAATGTTGGGGAAACGATGAAATTCCGATATTGCTATATCATTATTCATCCAATATTGGACCGACGCGATGATCCAATGTGCCCGACCGCACTTGTGAGTGGGTCCGGTTCTTCCTTTTTTCGTCTTAATCTCATTCTGGCCCGAAATGTAAGCGGATCTTTACTCGTGACAGCATCCGTCATGAGGTTCAAACACCAGTAAATTTCACTCCCGTGCATCTGGGGCGTTCTTGCCCCGACCAGCTGCACGTGCGAATCACGATCGATCGAGCCACTGACATGGCCAAAGTGACATGGCCAAAGAATCCTCCACTCTGTTGCAGGGAAGAACTGAGTGGATGTGCCTGCTGCTGCTGCTCCTCCTCAACAGGGGGGTCCAGGTTGGGGGTGATGGGGGGGAACTCCCACTGACAGCCCTATTTCCCGGAATAACCTGCACATTCATGAACACGAAACCCGAACATCCTGAAAGTTCATTCAATATTGATTCAACGTTATGTGCTTCAAATTGTTTGTTGGGTCAATACCCCTGTTCTCATTGTGACTGGACTCGAGGGTGCGAATTATTTTTTTCGCAAACGAGTTCCACATAACCGGATTCGAAAGCCAAGGACATTTTCTCGCCCTACTGGTAAAAACTCAATCTTCTAATCAAAATAAGGAGGAAATGGTGACAACAGCAGAGAAGGACCTGTTCACCCTTACTCGTCTTTCCCACATTCCAGTCTGCGTATTAAGCTGTTCCCGTCTCGTGTCAGAATCCGTCATGAAGTTCCAGGTAAGCTATTTCTTTCTCGATCGGGATTCTTGATTGTATGTTCCATTCGCGTCTTTGCACGGTTCGGGCTGATGAATAGTTTAAAAAGGCACCGAAAGACTGTATTTTATTCGAAATATCGAGTTCGGTGTTGTGATTGGGGTTATTTAGGACGCTGGTAGGATCAGTGCTTAGCACCAAATGATGACTTGGCCATGAAAACTGTATCAAATTCAATGCAAAACGCCCCATGAAGGAAGAAACCAAGTCTCAATACTTGCAACTCCAGTAAATTTCACTTTTGCCCTTTTGGAGCATTCTCTCCAGACCAGCAGCACGTGGGAGTCGCGATCGATCGGGCCACTGACATGGCCAACGAGAATCTCCCGCTCTGTAGCAGGGAAGGACGGAGTGGATGTGCCTGCTGCTGCTGCTCCTCTTCGACTGGGGGGACCGGGATGGGGATGGGCAGATGATCATCTGCCCATCCCCATCCCGGACCAAGTTCTTTGCACTGTCACTTCTTTATTGTTGTCCTGGGTAGTATGTGGATCCTTATTACAGCTGTGTGTGATTTATGCAATACTTTTTGTGAGGTCCTCATAAAAAACCTCATAAGATCTCATGAGACCTCTTGCTCCAAATACTCAGGAGATCCTCATGAGGTTTTTTCCGCAGGGTGCAATCAGGGTGCAGGGTGCCCACACATGCATCCATGGGCCATGGGTGGCATGAGCATGGGACGTAGCGGAAATATCTGCGTTATCTGTATCACCCTCATCGGTGGGCCAAGTGTGGCTTATGCTGGGGCACGTTCGTGACAAAAAATAGCCTGACTGGTCTGTCTGCACGTGGAAGCATGGCAACAACGGGGAGCATGTGTGGGCCACGCTATAAATGTCCTCTTTTTCTGCGACAACCTGCAACAATGGTGGAGACATTTCCATCTACAGAACTAGTACTGCTGATACTGGCATAACCCCCTGCTCAAGCAAGAGTTTGACCCATGGATGGGCAGCATAAGGAAATACAGGAATTAATATACCCCTGAAACGTACCGATTAAAGTATTTGGTATTATAGTATGCTACCGTATTCATGGAATCATCCGCAAATGTTTTCTCTTGCCTCCAGTCGTATATTGTATATGTGCTTGAACCATCCATGGCTGCCAATTGTGGGCCAAAAGTGCAAAACTTTATTGTGCCACACATGTTCAAAGAACAGAACAACCACAGAAACGGCGCAGCTGCCGCACATTCGCCAACCTATGGCCACACTTCCGCTGCTGATTGGGAAACTTATTCACCTTCACCCCCCTCCCTCATCACAAGACAATTTCCACAATATCGGGGAAGAATATGGGATGAATCCAAAAATACACCTAAAAATCATCTTACTCCGATTTTCGATTTCTTCGCCAATCGGCTTGATTCCCAGACTCCCTCGGCCTCCTGTTTCTCGACATGACGTTCACATTCATGAAAACGAACTTCAATGCCCCTGTTCTCATTGTGACTGGACTCGAATATTGAAATTTTTTCGTATACGAGATCCGAACAACCGAAATCGAAAGCAAATGCAAATTTTTCGCCCTACTAGATTCGCATGTAGAGTGTCTCCTCCAATAAAGAAAAGGGGGAAACTGGGGCAGCAGCAGAGAAGGATCTGTTCGCCCTTTTTCGTCTTTGTCGCATTCTGGTCGGCATATTAAGTGGATCTCTTCTCGTGTTAGCATCCGTCATGATGTTCCAGGTGAGCTACGGTTTTTTTTCTTCTCAGGATTCGGGATTGCTTGCAGTTTTCATTAGCTATTCTGAGTTTTTCGGTTGACGAACAGTGCAAATAGGCATGGAACGACTGTGTTTTATTTCAGATTTCGAGTTCGATGTAGTGATTGAGGTTGTTGAAGACGCTGAACTGTTCCGAGCTTAACATTAGGTGAGGGCTTCATTTCTGTTTCAAATTCAATCCGAGTAACGCTCAGAAAACGAGAAACCAAGTCACTTTTCTTGCTTCACATGAAAAGATTCACTTCCACGCATCTAGCTTTTTTTTTTTTTGCCCAAACCAGCAGCACGTGCGAGTCGCGATCGATCGGGCCGCTGACATGGCCAACGAGATTCCTCCACTCTGTTGCAGGGAAGGGCGGAGTGGATGTGCCTGCTGCTGCTGTTGCTCCTCCTCGACTGGGGGGGTCTGGGATGGGGATGGGCAGAATAACACAAGAGTCACAAACATCACCGCTTTCTTGTGAGTCCTGATGATCCAAGTTCCGGTTCGGGAATCAATCTAGTACACTGACTTCAAATAATCAATAACAAGTTAAATAACAATACTGACAAGTATTCGTGGAATAAAATATATGTACTAAGTTATAGCAGGACAATTTCAATCAAGCCAGAAAAAAAAAGAAATTTTATCTCTCAGAAAATTTTTATTTTAAGCCAAGCCAAATGAAAAAATAAACTGAAAATATTGCACATAATTCTTGAACAACAAGTTCACATATCTTTCTTCCATGGTAACTATGGACATAAACAGTTAAGTTGCAATTTCTTGCAACTTATATTTTTCCAGAGCTTCTTGCTTAAATGAAATTATGAATATCTCTAATAGCATGTATGCACCAATTTCTTAGGATTTACTTAAGCTTCATCAAGAGACGCCTTATTGGCTGACACAATGGAGTCACTGTAAGACTGAATAGGCACCTTTGCAATATGCCTAATGTCTTCCTATTCCATGGAGGGAACTCAATATTAAATATGAATAAGGAGCAAAGAATGTAAAAAAGCAGGCCATCTGATTCCAATTCATCCACTTCCACTCTGCCAAGAAAGAGTTTCCATCCATCGCCCTTGACTGCAACTGGGAGTCCTTCACAATTTCGGACAGCTGAAATTAAGATGAAATTAATGGAATTATGCTGAGGAAAATATTTTAACAACTTCCACAGCAAATTTGTCATGCCTTGAGAGGATTTCAATACATATTATTGAACCATCACAAGGGGGAAATTATGACAGTCTGTTACATACTACACTTAATGAAAAGGGCTGGATTTTAATGGGGGAAATAAAGGAGATCAATCAATTCAGTGCACCACTTTTTTGCAGGTAACTTGCAAAAGCCTTTAGAGATATCACTGATTTTTATCTGCAGTTCACAGTGTGAGCTTATAATTGCCAGCACAACTTGGGACTTCATTAAAGTAAAACTTTGAAGGCTTAATATGAGAAGTTTAGGAGGTACTCACAGATGGTGAATAGCTGATGAGGCATGGAGGCTCTTTGAAGTGAGAGCATAGAAGTCCATGAAGCTCTGAGCTAGGGACATCTGAAAAACAACATGGAAAACGTAAACAACCCCAAGTCATAAGTTTTGATTCACAAAGAAATGATGAACAAAGCCTAACCACAGTTGAGAGCATCCTTTAGTGGCTTGACTGCCTTTTTGACTTTCAGCAGCAAGTACGGGATTAAGTCTTTGCACATGTAGCCCAGTTTTTTTAAAGAACCTTTTCGCTCCCCTCTCTTCTGGGTCTGATCGGTGCCTCTACGCCCTCAAATGAGGCATCTTGCTTTAATTAAGACCTCCTTGCTCCTCTCAGAGTCGCAATCCTTGAATTACGGGCCTATGATTTGTTTCCCTCTCTTTCTCGAGCCATCTCAGTGAGAATGTGTAACATTGGGTTATCACGTGCTTCTCTGAAGTTTGTTACATCTCCTCAAAGATATCTGTTACTAGCGAGTTTGTTTGCCCTTCGGGCAAACAAACTCGCTCTGGTCGCGCCTTCGGCGCCCCTTTACCTTGTATAGTCTAATCACTATTCATTCATTTTTTTGCGAAATGGGAAACATGTATTTGAAGTACGTCCCCATTGAAATACGTGACATGTGGGTTCGAAAGTCTTTATTTTTATCATAATCAATACTTATATGATTCTATGTGTGCCTAACTTTAAACTTATTATTGTGTCCCATTTTGTAAGTCTGGAGAATACTTTTTGAAATACTTCCCTCCAGTAATCTATGCTAAGGAGATATAGTTCAAAAGTAGGATTTTTCTTGTACTCAGCCATTAAACAGATACTTCTGTGGGAGATTGTATTTCTTGTCTCTGTTTTATTGTATTAAAAAAAAAATTCAGAAAAACGGGACTAAAAAAGTGCCCTAATGGGTTTTAACGAAAATTTGTTTTCTTTAGAAATGTAGACTCAGGGACCTCCATGCCACCAAGTTTCAGCCTTATACGTTTCCCCTTTTTGCTGCCAGAAAAATTTATTTGTAAAAGACACCCACTCAAAAGCTAAGCTTTGTGGAGACTCACAGAAAAAGTTGAATTTTTCCTTAAACCAACATCACGTCCGTTATGCGTGCGCCAGCTACTTTTATATTTCTGCCTGATTCGGTAGGATATGATAACATATTAGAAAACGCGCCGTCCCCAGTAAATGTAAACTCAAAACATATTTTGAAAATTTACCGTTTGACATTTGAGCTCAGTGCGTCAAAGGTCACGTTCTTGGCAAGTTTCAGCTTTCATGGTGTCTCCATTTCAAGCAAAGAGAACTATTTGAAAATAAGTTCCCCGAAAGGTGGCATGCATCACCACTTTTGCTGAACTCAGTATGTGTATGACTGACTTATGTCAGTCAGTCAGCTACTCACGATCTTTCTTACATAATAAAAGTAATAAAAGTATAATTTCTTCTTTACTTACCTACCTATCAAGTACTTCTTTGCCAAGTTTAAACTTTGATGCGACCTCTGTTTTGCTGGATCATGAAATTCCTGAATTTCGCGTGCAAAATGTGTGCCATGAGTCGTTTTATTTTTTTATTATACTGAAATCCATACTCAGTGAACTACATGCCCACAACGTTTCAATGCCCTGGTTTTGCCCTGTAATGTAGGCTCAAGGAACTCCATGCCACTCAATTTCAGCCTTATACGTTTCCCCTTTTTTGCAGGCGGGAAATATATATTTGGAAAAGCGACCCACCCAAAAGCTGTGCTCTGGGGAGATGCCCAACAAAAGCCGAATATTTCCTTAAATGAACATCACGTTCGTTATGCGTTGCGCCAGCTACTTTTCTACTTCTGCCCGTTTCGGTAGAAAATGAAAAATTATTTGAAAACGTTACGTCCCCAAGAAATATGAACCGCGAAAATATTTTGGAAATTTGACGTTTGACATTTGAGCTCAGTGCGTCAGCGGTCACGTTCTTGCAAATTTTCATCTTTCTATGTGTCTCCGTTTGGTTGAAGCGAAGAAAACTATTTGAAAATATGTTCCCCGAAAAGGTGCACCCTTTTGGCATGCATCACCAAAGTACAGTATAATCATTCCTGGACTCAGCATGCAAATAGCTACTTGTCAGTTAGTCAGCTACTCACGTTGGTCTATGTATAATAAAAGTAGAATTTTTTTTTTACTCAGCTATCCATCAGGTACTTCTTTGCCAAGTTTAAACTTCTAGCGCGCTGTTTTCCAGATTGGAAAATTCGAGAAAATACGCCATTTGCAAAATATGTGCCCTGAGCCGTTTTCACCGAAAAGTATCTTCTTTTCTTTCTTTTACGGAAATGCATCCTCAGTGAATTGCATGCCCACGAAGTTTCAATATCATACATTTGCGCTTTCCGCTGGTGGAAAAGCATGTTTGGAATAAACGACTCACCCAACAGCTATGCCCGGAGGGGATGCACCATGAAAGTTGAATACTCCCTCAGCTCAGTAATATCATGTCACTTAAACGTATTCCAAGTTTCACCTTTCCATTTCTGTCCAATTCGCCACGACAATTTTTTTCTTCAGAAAGTCGCATCTCGAAAAAATTCCCCCAGGGGATGTATCGCGATTTAGCATGATTATTTAAGTCCTTGTCCAAGTTGTCACATTCATGCAAAGTTTCAGTTTTCCATGTCACTCCGTTTTACTGAAGTAAAAATAATGTTATGGTGGAGGAATGAGTGACGGGACATGGAAGGCAAAAAAAGCCAAAAGAAAGCCTAGGAATAGCCGGGAATTGAACCCAGACCTTTTGATTAACCAGTCCGATATGCTACTACTACACCACCGAACCCTGCCTATCCATTTCATACTCTGAATGCCATCCTCATCTGTCACAATATATATCTCAGGAAAACCTTTCCCCCCAAAATGTGTACCCCCAGGGCATAGCTGTTGGGTGAGTCGTTTATTCCAAACATGCTTTTCCACCAGCGGAAAGCGCAAATGTATGATATTGAAACTTCGTGGGCATGCAATTCACTGAGGATGCATTTCCGTAAAAGAAAGAAAAGAAGATACTTTTCGGTGAAAACGGCTCAGGGCACATATTTTGCAAATGGCGTATTTTCTCGAATTTTCCAATCTGGAAAACAGCGCGCTAGAAGTTTAAACTTGGCAAAGAAGTACCTGATGGATAGCTGAGTAAAAAAAAAATTCTACTTTTATTATACATAGACCAACGTGAGTAGCTGACTAACTGACAAGTAGCTATTTGCATGCTGAGTCCAGGAATGATTATACTGTACTTTGGTGATGCATGCCAAAAGGGTGCACCTTTTCGGGGAACATATTTTCAAATAGTTTTCTTCGCTTCAACCAAACGGAGACACATAGAAAGATGAAAATTTGCAAGAACGTGACCGCTGACGCACTGAGCTCAAATGTCAAACGTCAAATTTCCAAAATATTTTCGCGGTTCATATTTCTTGGGGACGTAACGTTTTCAAATAATTTTTCATTTTCTACCGAAACGGGCAGAAGTAGAAAAGTAGCTGGCGCAACGCATAACGAACGTGATGTTCATTTAAGGAAATATTCGGCTTTTGTTGGGCATCTCCCCAGAGCACAGCTTTTGGGTGGGTCGCTTTTCCAAATATATATTTCCCGCCTGCAAAAAAGGGGAAACGTATAAGGCTGAAATTGAGTGGCATGGAGTTCCTTGAGCCTACATTACAGGGCAAAACCAGGGCATTGAAACGTTGTGGGCATGTAGTTCACTGCGTATGGATTTCAGTATAATAAAAAAATAAAACGACTCACAGCACACATTTTGCACACGAAATTCAGGAATTTTCTGATCCAGCAAAACAGAGGTNTGTGGGCATGCAATTCACTGAGGATGCATTTCGGTAAAAGAAAGAAAAGAAGATAGTTTTCGGTGAAAACGACTCAGGGCACATATTTTGCAAATGGCATATTTTGAAAATTTACCGTTTGACATTTGAGTTCAGTGCGTCAAAGGTCACGTTCTTGGCAATTTTCATCTTTCATGGTGTCTCCATTTCAAGCAAAGAGAACTATTTGAAAATGAGTTCCCCAAAACGTGCCATGCATCACCACTTTTGCTGAACTCAGTATGTGTATGACTGACTTATGTCAGTCAGTCAGCTACTCACGATCGTTCTTACGTAATAAAAGTAATAAAAGTATAATTTCATCTTTACTTACCTATCAAGTACTTCTTTGCCAAGTTTAAACTTTGATGTGACCTCTGTTTTAGTGGATCAGAAAATTCCTGAATTTCGTGTGCAAAATGTGTGCCGTGAGTCGTTTTATTTTTTTATTATACTGAAATCCATACTCAGTG